ATTGTTGGATTCGTGTATAATAATAGCGAACAATAGTTCATGGGTCTCTTCCGATCGAAGGTCAGATTACCCTGCCTTCGGCAAAGATTCCGCTGAAGCGCAAATCAAGAACAGAAAAACGCGAATCGCCCTTGGCTTTCGTAATTCGAGGTAAAATGCGACGGTCAGCTCGCGGGCACCACGTGATGTAACAAACATTGCGCAAATCGGCCTTCGACGTGGTCGCAATTATTTGGGATACGAAAACGCAACGGCTGCCGCTTTCCTCCGATAGCCTTCGCCGATGTTCCGCCGAGCTTGCAAATTTGCACAATGCGGAATGAGTTCACGATTCTCGGAATTCTCGCTTCTACTATGGCTATAATGAGGCCGTAGGTTGTAAAGAACGAAATAAATTGGCTCATAAAGCTCTTAGATACGTCATGATTAGATATGATTATGTATGCTTAGATATATTGATAAATAAATAATGAGTACTTATAATTACGAATATATACGTCTATTATTCTTACGTACAAACGCTGAAGCATGATGGGATTATTTGAACGGTAGCACTTTTCTTCAGTATATTTTTTGCGATCGGAATAATTTCTCGAAGATCGTCATTTAGCTATCTGGCATCTTGGTTGATAAAACGTTCTTGTTCAGTTGACGTCGGTGGAATGACATAGAATTTCACAGCGATTTAATTGGTTCATGGCTAAGAGGATATCTGACAGGTCCGCAAGACTTCGCATAGAACGCGAGATAAGAGTGGTATCGGCGAAATTTCTCGAGCGGCTCGAGATCGAATTCTCTCGGCGTCTTTGACCCGGCGACGAGGAGGACGATAGCGCCGATAACGATGGGTGGTTCTCGAGAAGATCCGTCTTCGAAGACGAGATGGTTGTATCTCTCTCTTTTTGCTCCTTCATTCGTTGTGCTCCGTCAGTGACGACGGGAGCCTCGCGATTCACCGGGCGTGATGTCACGAAGTATTGTATTTCGCTTATCGGCGCCGGATGTCGATTCCTCGTTCAACCCAGCAGCATTTCAGGAATGCGAATGCCACGTTTTTCTCCGACGGCAGAGACGATGACCTTCGCCCCGGGGATCGACTTTGCCCTCCGGCCGGTTAATTCGTTTTAACTCGTCTACTCCCCTTACGAAGTGATATCCCCATTCTTCTTCCCATTATAACAGGTATGTGGTCGCTTAATTACAGCTGTGCGGCCGGCACACGATCGTCTTACGTCGCAGATTGCCGGTAACATCGAATTCACCGCGCTGAAATCGATTTCATTTTTTCGATCGAGCGACCGAATATTATCGGGGACTGTATCATCTTCTCTGATCGGGACTCGTATATATAATATAGTTTGTCACGACCATCAGATCATTGTGGATCGATGTTATGACAATAGCCGAGCACAATAGCGTATCCTTGTTTTCAAAACACGTCTCTTCTCGTGTACCAGGATGGTCCTGGCTCTCGCTGCGCAGGAAATTGTACACCTTCGCTGGCAAGCAGCAGCTTCGGGTTTGAAAAAGATCCGCGTCACGGATACATTAAAATCTACTCCCCCCTCGAGTCGGTCGTCCGCGTGATTCCTGAATTTCACGTCCGCTTTCATGAACGACCGAACGCGTGTGTTTCGTGACGGGGAAAAAAATCGCATTTCCGGAAACATGAGAGAAGCCCGAGGTCGACACGGTCCGGGAGATAAAATTCGCGGAATGTGATCTTGCACTTTAACGTTGCAACGTTAAAAGAGACCCGCCGGGAGTGAATTTACCGACGTGTATCGACTAATCGACGATTCGAAACAGGCTGTGAGCGTGCCGAAAATTAAGATAATTCGAACAAATTATTTTTGTAAGCTTATAGCTGCAAGAAGAACAAATATATTGCTCGCTGTAGCGTCTTCTTAATTCAAGAACAGCTAATAAATTCAGCCGCGGTAGTAACGACTTCAGCTTCCTATCGAGGCCGCGGGAAGAAGTCATGTTCGCTCGTTCGCATGACGTTCGCGAGATCAGCGCTGATCGATGTCTCCGTGCGTGAACACGGCACGGCTGTATCCTTGTTTCCACAACACGACTCTTCGCCAGGACGAAGCGATATGGGAAATTTTACACCCGTGCGTGTGTCGCGCGCGGACATCTTGTTTGGCGAATCCCCATCTCTAGCCCGGAGCACGTGTCCGCGTTTTCGCGAACCGCTGGTAATAGTAGCATCGAGCTCGGCGATGTAATAGATACACGTAATACCGCTTCGTGCAACGGATCGAGATACAGAGAGGCGATTCTATCGCCGTTGCGATGCGATCGATCGTCGTATATCACAGATCGCTGAGAAATTGTTGTCGAGCGCCGCGAGCTGTTCTCGTTAATGCGGACGTCGTTGTGTTTTTAACACAGAATTTCCCTTCATCTTACGCGAACGAAGACCGATACGAAGAGGGCTGTGAACGACGGGAATAAAATCCCGAAGGGGAAAAAGCACGGATAATTGAATTTGATAGATGATTACTGGTGATTCGATCGTGATCACAGAGTGTCCGGTAATCCACGGAGCATCTGCGTATTCTGAGCTCTGCGTATTTATTATTAAAATTTCACTCCCCGATAATCCCCCCTTTTATTCCACATCTTGTTGGAATAATCACAATTTTATTATTTTTTTATTTTATACTGTATTGCGAAAAATATCGAAAAGTATGAAACTCTCCTTCTCCGTCATGACGTAAATTTAGCGTATTCGCTAGAAAGTGAAGAAATTATATATCCTGGTGGAAATGTACGTAATTTTTTAGATACCTATTCAGTTACTTTCTAAAATTAATGCATTCTCATTAGTTGTAACAATATTGTAGAAAAAAGGAGAGTAACTATAAGGAGAGCGTTGTATCTTAATTGGGATTCCAAATAGTTGTTTTCCTCAGTTGCTATACTGTTATACAGTTAATATACTGTTCAGTAATTGCAACAAAAATAAAAAAGGTATGGAGTTTCTACCAGGGATACCTTGAATTTGGTGTCGTGATTTGCATTTACTCTCTCTCTCTCTCTCTCTCTCTCTCTCTCTCTCTCTCTCTCNTCTCTCTCTCTCTCTCTCTCTCTCATAAATCGTGAATAATTCCGCAAAAGTCTTCTGTGTGTGTGTGTGTGTCGCATATATTTTCAATATTAATGTGATAAAGAAATTTCACGAGATATACGGTCCATTTCGCCGGTATTCCTTACGATTATCGTTTGACACCTTGAGAATTTCTCCCCTCGCGTGTAACGCATGTGCGAGGCAATTTGTGCGGCCATTAACGTCCGTGGTTAACGACTCTGCTACGATGTCAATTACACGATGGTGTGAAATCACGGACTCCGCTTTTCACTATGACTTCATGGTCTGTCCCGTGCATCATGTTCCTCAAGAAGTCTCTTTGAAAAATTTATAACTAATTAAAAATAGATGGAAAGCTACAATATTGTATGAAACTACGTAAAGATGGTATATATTTCATATATTACATCTTTTACATATTTATGTTCTTCGTTTATTTATATTGATTTATTTTAATAAAAATATCACATCCGTCCAGTCTACATCACACGCGTGACGTAATTAGATAAATTTTCGTCGATCAATCCGAGCCGGCTTTCCGTTCTTCCACTTCTTCCGCGCATTTTGCCTCGCCGGCCTGGTTCGTTCGCTTTTATCTCGCTTTTTTTTCGTTCTTTCTCTTCCCTATTTCGCCCGCGGCGCGCACGTAAGTTATTGGTGTCCAGTTACATCCAGTTCCAGTTACACGTGCCGCGGGGCACCGATGCATTCGATGCCGCCGTATGCACCCGTACTTCCTACTGCGCGAGTACTCCCACCCCCCCTCCCCTCCTCCCCTCTCTTTCTCTCTCTCTTTCTTCCTCTCTGTCACCGTGTTTTCCGGCGATTTTATTGCATTGCAAAAAACAGATTATCGTATTTTTAATGGAAGCTGCGTCCGCAAGCTTCGCGCATAATATTGAGAGAAAATTCGATATCATACTGCGCGACGTATTATCGGATTTCCATGCAACGTCGACAAAGTTGCCGGCGCAAATCGTATTCCGCTTTTTCAGAGATACTTCTTATATCTCTGATTTCACGTGCACAAACTCTCTATCCGGATACGTACGACCTATGCAGTTTTTTTTTTTAAATTTTACAATTGCCGGATAACAGAGACTTGTCTGATTCACTCGTATCATAAGAACATCGAATAGGAGTTCCAATCTTTCCGCGATTGTCTCCTTTAAACTGTTACTTAAATACCTTTCTACTTGTCTTACATGAACACTTAACACGTTGACTGCCGAGCCGATGTTCATCGTTTGTATAAAAACCCAATTGATAATTGGAATATTAAAGTACAGTATATAAATATAATTTGAGATATATATATTTTACTTCGTTTCATGGGCTCTTTATTGACTATACAAACAATTAGGTAGGTGGAATTAATTATATTTTGTATACAACTTGATAAAACGTGGTACTATCGTAGTCAGCTGATAACCACCACAGCATTCAACGCGTTAATTAATCGAACGTCCAAGTTCGTTAAGATCGACTCGGGGACTGCTCGGCGCAAGAATGCCGGCCAGAGTAGCGCTCGCGACGGGGCTCCTCGTTCGCTCGTGGTTTATCGCTCTGTATATCGACTCCTGGCACTAAACATAAAACCTGCGTGGGCCTCGGGTGTCCGGCGCAAGTTCCTCTTAAATGGGTCAATTGTTTCACCCGGTCGAGATTTCCTAGAATCGCCTGACGCACTCACGTGCGCGGATCGGTCGATCGGCGATGAAAGGAGAGAGCGAAAAAGAGAGGGAGAGAAAAGACAGCAGCGGAGTTCGACTCGGCCATTGTCCAGGTTCTCGGAGCGGCCAGCCACCTTTGCATCCGAAGCGATCGCGGGAATTCGGCCGGCTCATTTTCCCGATCGCCGCGATAATCGCCGATGCTCCAGCGATGAATCTCGTTTCAGTGAGTGGCTTCGAGCTGCAGAGCGGCTGCATCGGGGGTAGCACGAAGGACCTGGATACCTCGGTGGCCGGCAACTTGGGCCGCGGTCTGACGTCGCACCACGTCTCCTTGAGCCATCACCATCCTCATCACAGCCTGCAACACAGCCCCAACTCCGTCGTGGTCTCCATGCACTCGTCCGCCAACACGACGCACCATCATCTGGCTGACGACAAAGGCTCGTCGCCCGTAGGCGGCCTTCACAGCACCACCAATAGCAACCCTTCCACACCGTCCGCACCATCCACGCCGAACGCTGCCACGGACAGCACCGCGTCGGCCGGCGTGTCCGGCACGAACAACGCCAACGGCACCGGCGGCACCTCCGCCAACAGCAAGCCGCCCTTCAGCTACGTCGCCTTGATCGCCATGGCGATTCAGCACAGCTCGCAGAAGAGGGCGACCCTCAGCGAGATCTATGCCTACATCACCGCTAAGTTCCCGTACTTCGAAAAGAATAAGAAGGGCTGGCAGAACTCCATCAGGCACAACTTGTCCTTGAACGAGTGTTTCGTCAAGGTGCCGCGGGAAGGCGGCGGCGAGAGGAAGGGCAACTTCTGGACTCTCGGTAGGTTCGCTCAATAGTTGCTTGTCCGTCCCCGAACACGAGGGACAGGGTTGCCGCAGGAAGCGAATTTTGAAATGACCTTTCCTGACTTTCCCGTGTGTTTTCCGGACGACAGTGGAGAATTTTCCATAGCCGATGTGTCATTTTAAATGTCAAAAGCAGTAAACGTTTAAAAGCAGGGATTGCCGGGAAAGTAGCTTAAATTCTTAGAAGCAACCCTTTTGCACATATTCCATATCTCATGTGATATTAATCAATATTTAATGTGCTGACATAATAACACAATTTTGCACGGGTTTTACTGTCCCAAACGTCCTGTCACGTAAAATATATATAAGGATTACATTTTATAATAATATTAAAATTTTGTTTTTTTTTTATATTAACATATATTGTACAAATGATATTTTATTGTTTTCATTCAGTGTCTTTATAAACGGTTCAAAAAATTATTCCTATATTTCAGTTATTAAAACCATCACCCATGCATGGGTGACAGGGTAGTCTAAGTGTTAACGAACCAGCACGGTTTACGTGTACTCCCCCGTAAAGGGAATTTTCGCATGATCGTAGATCCGCAATACGAGGATATGTTCGAGAACGGTAATTACCGGAGGCGAAGACGAATGAAGCGTCCTTACAGAAACGCGCCGTACCACAAGCCGCTCTTCGGCGATCCGTTCTCGACGACTCATGTGCACTTGGGGCCGAGGAACATTTTCGGCCACTCACCCCCTTCATATGCCCCCACCACTTACACGCGATACGACACGAGGTATCCTGCGAATATCTCGCAGAATGAAGTTAGAATGTTTGCTCTATAACGCTGCGAACTTTATAATTACTGTAAAAAAAGCTATAGAAGGAAGGTCCTAGATAGCACAGTTTCATATATGTTCTTTAAACGTTTTTAATATGATTATGAAACGTTACAAATTATGTTTAAAGGACGTATATAAAGAAACTAACATGTGCTACCTGAGGTTGCTCTTTCTCTCTTCAATGTGTTTTCAGTCGAGATTTAGAGAAAAAACTTCTATTAAATACAATCCGTGATTAATGATAATATTTAGACTCAAATTCGATGCAAATTACGCAACTTTGTGCTCTTTTCTCTATTACAGCGCGTGGAGCCTCCAGCAATCGCAACTCTCGTACAGCCATTGCCAATCGGTGAGTTCTTACGCTGGAGACAATAAATCATGATATATTATGCCGGTTCACTCCAGTATAGAGTTTACTGATTATAACATGATATTACTATATAGTTCTTAGACGATATATTTCAATATTAATAATCGTAACGCGATATCGTAACATTCGATGAGCCGATCACATCACCGTGGCTCTTCTTGATCGCAGTTGCAGCCTCAATTGCAGCCGATGCAGTCGATGCAAATCCCGGCTATGAATGGCTACAGTCAACTGGGTACCTCCTTAAGTGAGTCTCTATTCTCGTTCTTTTCCTGGCCCCTCTCGCGAGCGGGATAATGCCGAACGACCAGGCGAAGCGTTTCAAGGCAATTACCTGGATGTTCCAGGTGGCACGACCGGGTCTCCCGGTTCCATGGGCGGCGGTTCCTTCGGCAGCAGTTTCGCCACGTGCGGTAGGAGGCACGACGCTACGATGGCGACGGAAACGATGCCCAGCAGATGCTACTGGCCAGAGAGTGAGTGCTTTCAACGAGTTACTTTGCCATATATCTATTTTTGCCATCTATAGTTTCATACTATGACTCGAGAGCAATCACAAGTTCGTAAAATATGTACGTAATAATCACGGAGAGCATAATCCATTCCATAATTCGCAATGTTGCACCAACAGAATGGAACAGGAGAATTTTTTAAACGTTCATATTATTAACGCGTCCGCCTTTTATATTGCGTTCATTACATTGATTTGGCCGTCAAATTAAACGCGTGACATCATTGGTAATTTCCCGCCGAATTCCTCTTGTCTGTCGTACGCAGATTAAACCTGGCCCCTCACTGCAGTTATTTTGTTTGATGACGTCAGAAGCGAGGAAACGCATGTCCATAATATAATTTTGGCGAAATATTAGATATTGTTGAATTGGAAAGATATGTTCATAAAATGACGTTTGTGATTAATTGAACACATTTGTAAGATATTCCGGAAAATTTTTTTTGTTCTAACAATCGACAAATAACTATAAAGTTAATATTACATGTAATCTTCCTTCGTGGCTTATCTTTTTTCATAATTTTGTCACGTTCAATTTACTTTTACTTATTGACTATAACGAATTTCACATCACAAAATATACCGACTTTGAATTTGAATATTTTTTATTTACATTTATATGTCGAAACAGAAAAAATTATTTAGCTGTAAATTCAAGAAATATTTTAATTTTTGTAAATTAATAGCATGTAAGATGTATGAAAATAAGTTAATCACACTTTATAAACATATTCCTTTATAAACATATCCTTTCATTTCAACGTATTCCGCACAAATCTTCGACATGCGTTTCCTCGCTTGTGACGTTATTAATCAAGATGGTCGCGGCGTGGAGTATTAAACCGCGTGTGAAATCAGTTGTTAGATTTACCGGCAGACCGCTGTACGTATCGTTCGCTAATTGTCGCAGTGGTGAACGTGAAGGAGGAGCCCGGGAGTAACGCGGTCTCGGCCAGCGGCGTCGGTGGCGTCGGCGTCCCGTCCGGTATGATGGGCTCCGCGGCGTCGTCGGGCGTCTCCACGACGGGCTTCGCACCTGTGGAGTTCCAAACGCGTTCCAAGTGCTTTATGTGAACTCGTCGGGCTCACCGAGTTGCGGGACGAGCGTGATCGGGGAGATCCGCGATCGTCGTACCTATATTTAATGGATGTCGAATCGCCGACGATGGATTTCGCTGTCGACGAGCGCGCGCACTCCGAGCACTTGGACGTCGCGGATCGAAGGTATAACGAATATATCCGATAATTACGATTTACGATATTATTGGATGATTGTTTCGCGAACTTAATCGCGCAAGGAAATAGCGTAAACGTTAAAATGACTCGTGTAATTTCCGTTGTCGTGATTAACTCGGTGTTAAAAAAATAAAGTGGACTCAGCGCCGCACTTACCTTTACCTTCAGCCCTAGGCGTTCCACGTGTCTTCGCGTACGTCACCGCGGACGTGTGAGTTAAGCAAGGCTCGTGTGTGTCGTGTCTCTCGTAGTAACTTGCGATTCGGTCGTCAAGATTTCCGCGACGACCCACAATCAGCGCCTAGCGCGGGAAAGTGCGGCTCTGAGACGCATGCTCGCACGTACAGTCGGCGTCATGACTTTCGCCAAATTCTGATTAAGCTAATCGACGAATAATAATATTATTTATATAATAATAATAATGTAATATAATAATAATTGCCAGCATTAGTTTCCGGTTCTGTAATTTGTCGTTCAACAACATTCGAAGAATTCATCATTTCCATGAGATAGAGCAGGTAACACTTGACTGACGGCAATTTTAAGCTGTCGATCGGCTTAATCGGATTTCGGGGCCACCCTCACACTACTGTAAATGCACTCGAATGCTGTTATACGTAAGCAATATGCAATGCACGATTACATCGTCGGATATGATTCCGGGAGAGAAGAATTGCTGATATATTGCGAACGATTGTAGAACGATCTCTTAACTTTGTCCCGTTTTCACGATCTCCCCTTGGAGATACCTCTATCTTCATTTTCGACTGCTAGACAGTATTCAATATCTTGATGAGGAGCGAGGAGGAAAGAGAGAGAGAGAGAGAGAGAGCGTCCGTTTGGCGAGAATGAGATTCGAAATTTCTTCTCCATCTTTTCCGAATAATTAAACATGAGAATTGCAACGCGCGAAAGGTTTCATCGCGCTGAGCGACCCTTCGCGCTCGATGCTTATTTAATATGTTGACTGGCCAAGAGCGAGCTTTCCGTGTCTTGTATATCGTCTACGCTACAATAACGTTTTTATTACCTTAAGCATATAATGCATATATAATAATAAAATATTGTGTAATATATATGATTAAATAAAAAAAAAGTATATATATGTATATCAAGCTTGATCATGATTTATCTCATCGGGGCGCACCAGGCACTCTTATGATGACTTCACCGTAAAAAATAGAGTGCCAGTCAATATGTTAAATGATCGAATGACGTCTTTCCCATCGCGACATGAACATATGCGGAAACGTTGCTTGTAACGAGTACAGATCTATTGTAAGAAAAGAAAGAGATAGTGAATATGGAACAGTGAGAAAAGCCATCTTGTTGCAAAGTTTATATATATATATGTATATATATATATATATAAACTTTGTGTGTGTGTGTGTGTGTGTGTGTGTGTGTGTGTGTGTGTGTGTGTGTGTGTGTGTGTGTGTGTGTGTGCGCGTAAATATATAGAATTAAAAAAGAATAAAAATAGAACTATATATATGTTTAATTGCGCGTACAAATACGTCTTATGCGAGTTACAGAAGTTGTTTCCGCGATCACAATGAAAGTGTAAATATACGATTAGCGTTAGGCGCACAACGACTCGAAGGAAAGCGAGATAATTAGTTCTATGTATCTACTAAAATTAGTTTCCACGGAGCACGTGTGACGTGAGAATCGTGCGTTATGAGAGGAAAAGAGCGAGAAAGAGAGAGAAGAAGGAGAGAGGGCGCGCCACGACTTAAATGTATACAGAGCGACTCGAGACGAGAACCCACGTGCGAAAGAAAGTCCCTGCTGTAACAGTGGCTGTAAGAGACGATGAAAATAAATCCCGATTATTTATCATCGACGCGAGAGAGAGAGAGAGGAGAAAACGAGCGCGCGAGATCCTTGTTTAGCTCCGATGAGCGGCTAGTCGGAAATAGTTCCCCGACACATATACGCGCGACTTCGCCCGCTGCATCCTAGATGCAACGACGGCCTCTCTCCGTCTCTCTCTCTCTCTCTTTCCTTTCTCTTTCTCTCTCTCGGGCCCGGTGCAGCGCAGGATGTCGATGAGAAAAAGTGCACATCGGGGGAGAACCGGACCGATGGCCGGCGAATGTTTTGCGAGCACGATGTTTTGCAAACAAGCCGTGCGCCGTGGGCTGAAATATTCCCCGTGAAACGTGGAGCAACTACGTGGAGAGAGAGAGAGAGAGAGAGAGAGCGCGAGTAGGACCCGAGCCACGTCAACACCGCGAGAGAACGCGTGCGCTCATGCATCGGTGCGGGAATAGCACGTGCATTTTATTTTCCGCCCTGGGAACCGCGCGAAGGAGCACGTCGATGACGGTTCGTCGGTGCACGGCTCGCTCTCTCGCCCGGAGAGCCCGAATATAAGTTTTGCTCTACCGGACACGCCGAGGGACGTTGCGGAATCCCGGCGTAGATGGCTCGATTTGATCGGTAGAAATTTATCATTATGATTCGTGATACGATTTCGGACTCATTTTTTTTTCGTTTAAATGTAGATAGGTGAAGAAATGAGAAGCGGAGGTCGCATCGGGGAGCGTCCACGAGAGCTCCGCGAGGGTCTCCTCTTCCTCCCCGGTGCAGGATGCCCTTCGCTCCGCGACTGCGTGGAAAAGGTAAAGCAAATATTTTCGCATGAGACGGAGGAAACTTTGAGGGCGCCGAGGTAAAATCGCAACGGCTAATTGGGTTGCGTTTGTCCCGCTTTTCTGACGGCTGACAGAAAGGGAAAGACTCGCGATCAATATGTCCTTTTTCGTTGAACTGGCTGCATCGGTTCTACGTAGGTGTATACTAGTTCAGCGAAAAAGAACAGACCTGTTGTAAGAGCGGAGAAGAAATGACGCGATGGTGCTCCCGCAATTTTCTAGGAATGTAAGTTCGATCATTTGATCAAGTCTGACGAATTAATTATTCAACAGCGAATCTCTCCAACACGCTTACTTAATTTCGGTCTCAAGACAAGAGCGGAAGTTGAACAAATTTGCTTCGCAAAATATCTTGAGTATTCAGTTCGAATTTCCACTCGGTCGTAATCATAAGATAATAAACTTAGGGCCTTAGAGGAATAGCTGACTTATTGGCTCAAGACAACGTTTCATAAAGTTAAATTTTTAAGTTTTTGAGTCTTGAGTAACGCACAATGACTGCCTAGAATGTTTAACTAAAAGCCGTTCTATCTGGAATTGATTAATGACAAACCGTTGTGTGATGAAAAACAAAATAAATAAAAAGAATCGTAACTTTTCAGTGATGACCCAGTTAAACACTCACTAAGAGTAGCATTACATCAATGTTATAATTTTTCATTCAATAATACAAGTGCAATATAACATACATTATATGTAACAATTACATTATTGAGCGGGAAATTGATAACATTATTGCGATGTTACTGTAAAGTTGATGTTTAGCGGGTTAGACGAGTATTTAGTACACGAAACATTGTCTTAAAATTACAAGCCAGCCACTCCGCCGAGGCCCTCAGGAAGAATTGAAGACAAGCCGAGAAGTCCATCGGGGCACGGCGTAGGGAGCACGCGCAGCGGTGAATGACGCGCGACAGCTGTACGCAGCATCGAGAGTCGCGATTACTCCATGCTCGTTGGAATGAATGCACGCGAAACGGAAAAGCAAACAGTCTCTAGGAAAATAAGAAATCTCGTCCTTTTTTCCTCGTTATGTACTAAATAATAAATACTTAAGTATTAAATACTTTTAATTGAATACCCAGAAAAGATTGAATACTCACCAGGACACTCGGAACAGACAGAAATGCTGTACATAGTATGCAAACATTTAATATATACTTCGTTTTGTCAACATCACAACATGTTTAAAAAATGCTTGCTTTAAGAAATACCCATTTATTAGGTTATTTAATTTTAATCAAAATATCGACTCATTACAACAATTCCGGATCAATTGCGTTCCCTTTCGGGACAAATGAACAGCCGATATTCAGGCTTTATCTTTCGGAAATACGAGGTCGTATTCTTCGATTAAATTTCGCGCGGGCCTCGCTTGATGGACTCGCGCGGGAGAAAAAAGGTACGCGACGATCGCGATGTGACTTCGCGTGCCAGAAGTGTCGGGAGGAGCGCGAGGAACGCGAGATTCACACGCACGTGCGTCGTGCGTGGCGGCGATGCGTGTAAGTGGAGGACGGCGGTGACATATAGCGACGGCGAGGGCGACTGTGCCGACCGTTTAGGCGACTATTAGCAGCTTCACGGGATGTTTCACGCACGTGCGTCCTGCGACGGCGGCCTACGAGCTCTCCTCAGGAACGGGGAGAGCGATTCCTCGCGTTTCAGGCGAGTCGATCCTACGATTTCGTTTGTCCTATTTATTCCGCTCAATCAGAAAGCAAATGTGTGACGTTCTTATTGAGTCAATCTCGATAAGTTCGTTTGATTTTTCGGTCAATTGGACTTTTTTTGCGTCCAATGGAAACAAACTGTTCGTTCATCAAATAATTACTTTCGTCGCGTGCGACTGTTCGCCAACGTTCCGGCAACACTCGTATATTATAATAACAATAATAATAATAATAATAATAATAATAATAATAATAAAGTATATGCCTCTGTATCGCAAAAGCTGATCGATCGGAGGCAAAACATCGAACCGGACTCTGACCGATTCGATATAATTCGGAAAATTGTGAGATAAATATGCAGAACGGCCGGTATTTTGCGGTCGTTACGATTGTAGCACAGGAGTTAAATACTGGCGCCGTGATACACGGTCGTTAAAATCGTTAAAGGTGGATTTAATCGAGCGTCGTAAAAAAGAACAGGTCAGGCGTGAAGCAAGTGTGTCGGGTATCGTTCGACCAATTTACGGTAATCCTCCAGTGGGAATTAGGAGCCATAAATCTCCGATAGCTCGACGTTGGACGGGATCAGTGAAGAAACACTTCGCGCGTTGTCGTCCTAAAATCGAGCGCATCAATCGTGCCACTTATTTCGCGGACGAGGGGACAAATTGGTCGAGCAGAAACGAATTGCTTGAATAATCAGATATTATAAAACAAAAATAAAATTACAAGTATTGAAATGAAAAGAAGTGAAATGGATTTCTATAACTTTCTTTCCTTCTTCAAAGTTCGCGAATTATTGCGCAACGGGAGACGAAGTGATGCGAAAGTATATACAGAAAAAAATGCTAAGCTCAAGTGAATAATCACTCCGATATTCCATAGCGATACTTTTATTTAGATTAAGTAAATTTTACTTTGATCAAGTAAATATTATTTGATCCGAGTAAAAATGTGCTCAGGAGTAGAATCCGAGTCGAAATTTTAGTTCCACTGTTAAGTCCCTTCAAATGGAGAACACGATAACTTCTCATTCGTAGCACTAAAAGAGCACTGATGGTGCACCTTTGACGCTACAAAGGGAATTTAGATTTCCAAGGTGGAAATGTTAAATTCTATATTAAGCCTTCAAGTGGAGAGAACAAAAATAACGTCCCATTTGTAGCATCAAAAAGAGCACAACAGAAGACCAGACGAAGACTTAATGTAGAACCAAATAGACTTAATGTAGAACTAAAATTAACTAAAATTTTGACTCGGAAAATGCATTATGCTTCATATACTTCAATATGCTTCTGAGCAAAATTGACTTCGGTGTGTGCGAAAAATGAAAAAGAAAAAAAGTAAGTACAGAATTATCGAGAGTCGTTTTTGGGTCAGTGGTTTTTTCTCCTCCCCCGCCTGAGAAGGGGCGAGAAAACGCGAGAGGCGCGTGGCTTTTAAAGCGAGGCGTCATGACGCGGACAATTTGTAGCGGAGTGTCAACGCGGCTGTTTCTATTTTCGAGTACGGCGCACGGCTATCTTTTTCTTCCTCTGCTTCTTCATCTCCGTGTTCTGCCTCCGCTCTCCTCCCTTCCTCCACTCGCTCTTCTTTTTCCTCTTCTTCGTTCTTCGCCCACCGACGGCGGCGGTCTCGCGACGACGACGACTAAATCCACGCGTGGGTAGACGATCGCGGATCTCTCCGCCGCTACTTCTCCACCTTATATCGAAAGCTCACACTTTGTTTAGCAAACGTAAACACGAGCGGCTGTATATTTCCGTCTCGCGTGAATTTATCGGCAGAAATCGGCCGGGCCGGGAATGAACGATAACGCGGCCGTAGCGACTTCTCGTGAGAGAATTACACTATTTAATAAGCCGGCCAATTTATCGAGAATTATGGGGACGTGTAGTCGCGAATAAACCGTCTCGTAAACGTGGCGGAAGACGATTCGGATGAAATAATAATGCTATATGCACCGGTGGCGCGAAGAGAGCTCCCGCACGAGAGCGCGAGCATGCGATAAATAAAAAAAAATAACTAAACATATACGTACGCGCGACACAGAGTAACGGTAAAATACGTACACATACGGAGTGACATGTAACGGTGTAATAAACGCGCGCGAATTCATCCGTTGCGTCTCAGGACTCCAACAGTTCGCGCGCTAATTTCTCTTTTCCTGATACTTGTTTGGATATTTTACCATATATTTTTTTCAGACTCCTTATTAGATATCGGCTTCACGGAAGCAGCAATAACAGCGTTACATATCAATATTTTGTAATGGGCTTCATGTAACATGTAAATAAAAATATTGAAGAATTCTTCTTCAAAAAGACATCTTCACGAAGTCAATAAAGTCAGCGAAAGAATTCAAACATTGGACATTTTTCGAGCCGTCCGGCTCGACCCTTAAAGAGCAAACCAAGCTCTCAGTCTTCCAAGGGCATCAAGTTCGTGCTAACAAGAGAGACCACTGCTCGAGATGCAAAACTCAATGAAATTGTTTTCCCACAGTCTTTCCTCTACTTCTAGAACTCGTATTGGCGCAGTTTGCTCGCTGAAACTCGAAGCGTCCTGCATAATACCGCATTATCAGTGTACCTTTCTCCGTTTCGTAAATGAACAAGTCGGAATGCACAATAAAGCGTCGCCCGCAACTCCACGATTATTCAGAAGAGTTTTAAACTCCTCGCATCTCCTTTTCCTGTTGGCGTTAATAACGAGCGTATTTTGCCTCAACACGCGCGCGTTCCCTCTTACGTGAGCGCACGGCCGAGCACGTACGGCTCGTGCTAACTGCGCCTCTTTGTTTTTCCCGGTACCTTGTGACACGTACGACTGTATCGATTCGAGTCCGACGTTTACGCACGCACCCGGCTGCCCGAAAATTCGGGGCCGAGCCTGAGTCGACGTGATAAACACACACGGCCGATATACGGAGTGTTCCGCAGTCAACGGACGGTCGCAGTCGTCCACGCATGTTCATATTTATACATTTATGCAGCTCGGGGATTATCGATATTGTCGTCAAAATATTGATCGAGTCTCAACGCGAGAAGCAACGCTGTTATTCCCATCCGCCGATTCTGGAATACTCGTGCAGCTCGCCGGGGGAAGTCTCTGTCCAGTGAACAGCAACGTTACAATTTCCCATTCAACAATGTAACTGTCGTGTACGACTATGTTACATTACGTGTATGCATGTATTGCATTGTCGAGCGAGAAATGATAATAACATCGATGTATTTGTATTTACCGGGTTCTGTGTTAAAGAGACAAGGAAACGGGAGTGGTCTGCAATAAAATGGAGAATGGCATAGTGCGACACAAGCACGTTATACTTCCTGTTATATTAACAATATATTTAATCTTTAATCACCGAAGCGCCAGCCGGCAAATACGCGCTGTCCTACCTTCGTTAGTTTTCGCAGTGATATAAACACACTTGCGCACGGAAAAGGAGACAGAGATGATTTCGTGGCTCTTCAATATTCAATTCTAAATGATTCCCTCCTTCCCTCTCTTTCCCGTTCTTCGTCTTTCTTTTTCACCATACGAGGAATGACTGGCAGAAGGAGAATGAAAGATACTTGTATGACGCGTGCATCTTCGCTCATCTCCCGTCTCGACGGTTAATCCTCCTCGAGGAGATCGTCATCGAGATTGACACCCTGCAACGGAGAACAAAAGTCAACGATCCGAGCATGCAACCTGTCCGTCCGTCCTGAAAACGTCAACGTCTAAACAACCGCCGATCGAAATGTCGTATTTACAAAGTGCGAGCCGTAAGGTAATCTTAAAAAAGTGAGAAATATCGCGGGGCAACGAGAACGCGTAAACGTTGCGAGTGAATGGGAAAAAGGGCGGGAGGCAGAGCGTGACAAAACGTAGTAATGGTCGGAACCTTCTGGCGGGAGCGGGCTCTCCGCTTCGACTCCGGAGTCGAGTGTTATGGCAACAAGGCTGTAAACAAAATGCGGCGTGACTGCCTCGGAACAAACAAGCCCCCGGGGCACCTCGCAAAAGCTCCCGAGAGGGAGAGAGTGCCTCTGTTCTCCGTTCGTATCGGTTACACGGCGCAAACCTTAATGATCTGTCGCCGATTTTCGCGATACGCTCACACGAGATACATTTTAGCCGTGTGCACGATTCTGTTTTCGTAACGCTACACCCGTCTAAAGTTACGCTCATACTCTTAAGAGCACTAATCCCATCGCCTAATTGCACACCCTTCGTCTCTTATTCGTGCGTTCGAGCCTTCCTCCGATCTCAACTTAAGCTTGTATTAATAGTCGTTACGGCGTGGAGAAAAATGTAAGCAATCAGGTTTAAGCAGCAAGAAAATCGATCTCCTCACGGTCGAAGAATAATCGACTGTGATTGCTTACTGCTTGTTAAATCTTGCTCACGTTTCTTCTCTTGTCCACGATCTTGCTTTAAGACGTAAGCAAATCGACCAGTCACCAGTCGCTCATTTGGAAGAATAACCGCGGAGTTTCTCTACATCATGATCCCTATTTGCCTCAAGTCAGATGTTCGGATTTGAATTCCGAATTAAACGTGAGTTATTACTTCTCAGTTGAATCGCAATGTCACGTACTACGGTCGTATATAATGTTGTGTAATTACGTGAAATATTACATGGGAAAGAAAAGATTGGTTGAATTAACGGCGGCAATGAAGAAATCGAATGGACTTTGATTGAAGAAAAGAGAATAACGCTAAGAGAACTTACGGTGGTATCAATAGTGTCGTCGATCTCCAGATCGATATCAAGGTCGTCGTCGTCCACCGTGAGAGGCCTGGAACTACTCGCGAGCTTCGCCGTTTTCTCGGGTACGGATGTGGGCGCGAGCTTCGCCGTTTTCTCGGGTACGGATGTGGGCACGAGCTTCGCGGCGGTGTCGTTGTCTTTTCCCGATATCGAGAGCTCCTGCAGTCTATCAGTCATCGCTTCGGCCTCTGGTGCGCTGCTCGGACCGTCGTTATATTGAAACGCGCCCGACTGCTCGGCGGCCAACATCTCCTCCAGCGGCTTCCGCTCGATATTAGGCTGCAAAATTCATATTAACAATTTGAGGGATGGGCCAATTTGCGGTTGCTAATTGCGCTCATCGACATTCCCGTTCGGGAATGTTAAACTGAACGTCGTACCGTGACGTTGGGGAACGCGGAGGCTGGAATCTTCTTCTTGCTCTCATCGCGCAAGAATTTTTCCACCTTCAAGGATTCTCTGTAGCCGGGGAACAGATTCTCATACTGTTCGGGATCCGCCAGGCTCTGTCCGGCTTTCTCGCTCACCGCCGATAATTTCTCCTTCCACAATTTCACGATGCCGGATATCTTGCTCGGGGCGTACGTCCTGGCGAAGAACGCGGCCTCGGGGATTCGGTTCGTCTTGATCAGAATGTCCAGACACTTGTCCACGTCGCCCAATATGAAGTTGGCCAAGAAGGATATATTGTTCTTGCCCGTCTCGTCCGCGATCGTGCCGAGTTTCTCGATCATGTTCGCGTTTCCCGTGCTGGTGGCCGACAGCAACAGGCCGCCGAAGTCCTGCGCCTGATACAAACACTCTTTCGCCAGGAAGAGCTTGCCCTTCTGCGTGGCGAGGGAAGCCAGCTGCCGCCACTTCTGCTGGCTGTTCGCTTCCTTGGCGAGCGTGTGCGCGGTCACCAGATTCCCCAGCGCGAGCGCCAACTCGAATCTGTGCTCGGGATCCGTCGAGACCGCTAACGCTTGCTCTTTGAAACCCTAGATTGAAGTTTCCGATCAATCTCCGTACGTTCTACTTCGCTCGTTATCGTTAAGCCTCCATTGTATACCTGTTTTTCCAAGAAGTGAGCCACTCTCGTCCGGTGTTCCTTGGGAACGGTCGGCAGTACTCTGTCGGCAGTCTCGAAATCCTTTCGCATCACCGCGGTCTGGTATTCCAGCACTGACAACAACAAGGAATACGAGACGACGGACAGCTCCTTGTCGCACAGGTACAATCTGTTATCTCTCGGCACGTATCCCAGCAGATACATCGGCCTGTCTAGGTGGGAGACCGTGACCACCTCGCCGCCAACGAAGTAATTCACACGGTTCACGCTGTTGGTGTAGATGAAGCAGTCGCCAACCCATAAGCCGGTTTTCACCACCTCGCTCATCTCCGCTACCATCTGGAAGATTGCGTTTATGACTATCCAGAGACGGATCATATCTGTAATCGCGATCCAACCGAAGAAACACATATATCTCATTTGAGGCGGGTTTCAAGCGATCAATACGGTTCTAAAAAGGAGACTCACTTCGAACGCATTTTCGATGTCCTCGGCGTTTTCCTCGGCGTTAGCGACTGCGTCCGCGTGGTACTTTAATATAAAATACTGATCCGACGTGGCCAGCGCTACCAAGGAGGCGTTCTCAGCCCAGTACACGTGCGTAGGCTGTATGTCTATGCGACGAATCAACTTCAACGTGTCCCAGTCGAAGAAAGAAAGGCCGGATCCGGACGAGACGCCGAGTAAGAACCCTCCGAAGATGCCTGCGAAGAAGCAGCGAGATGCAACGGCCGAGTCGACGGTAGGTAAAAGTCAAGCGAAAAGCTACCGTACCGTCCGCCCCGAAGTCCGGCTTGAAGCTCTTCTTCTCCTTGAAGTTCTTGAAGACCTTCACGGTGGTGTTGCTCTCCCTGACCGCGTACTGGCTCGAATCCGCCGCCCATACGAACTCCGACGCCTGTCCGAACGCCTTGTTTCTCAGCGCCATGGACGTGTAAATGATGTATTCGCCGTCGCCGCAGACCACCAGGAATCTCCCGTTCGGGTTGTGCTGTATAGTCTGCGGGTATATCTCGCAGGCGCCCATGTCTTTGACCGCCAACGGCAGCCGCTCCCCGTCCTGAGCCTCCTCGCCCAACGCCTTCAGATTCACCTGCTGGATCTCGCTGTGCCTCGCCCACACGATCTTGCCGCCCAACGAGTCCATCGACACGGCCGGTTCCTCTCTGCCGACCTTCACCATTACGCTACCCTCGTCGTAGCCGATGGCGACGTTGTTCGAGCCACGCATGCACGCGATGGTCCACACTCGCTCGAAGCCGTAGTTGAGCGAGGACTCCAGCCGGTAGGTCCCGGCGTGCCATATCCTGACGGTGCCGTCCTCCGAGCCGGTGAGGACGATCGGCAGCTCCGGGTGGAAACACACCGCCGAGATGTTCTGGGTGTGCCCTTCCAGCGTCTGCACGCAGGTCTTGTTCTGGTAGTCCCATATCTTCACGCATTTGTCGTCGGCTCCGGATATCAGGTACGGTTTATCGCCACCGTGATAGTAATCCACGCAGTTCACGCCCTTCTCGTGGCCCTCCAGCGTGAAGTTGGCCGTGGGCGAGCCGAGCTGCCACACTTTGACGGATCTGTCGAGAGACGCGCTGGCGAAGGTGTTGTTGTCCTTTGGATTGAAGACGATCTGCATGACGTAGTGCGTGTGCCCTTCGAACACCTGCTGGCAGATCCAGGACTTCTCCCAGTTCCACAACTTGATCCACATGTCATCTGTAAGAGACAATCAATGGAGAAATGGCTGTCTGATGGAATCAATTCTCATCGTTCTTCTTCTTTAACGTACCGCTGCTGGTGAGAATGAACGGTTGCGTTGGATGCACAGCTATGCATCTGACATAATCGCTGTGAGCCTCGAATGTGTGAACACGTTCCAGGGTGTTGTAATTAAACACTCTGATTTGCATGTCATCGGAGCCGGTGATCACCCAATTCTTGCGAGGCACAAATTTGGCCGCTCTCACCGGCAGATCGCACACCTCGAACGTCTTCACCAAAGTTTGCGTCTCGTGATTCCAGATGTTGACATTGCCTTGATATAAAGAACATAACATCCATGGCTCGGTCGGATGAAGATCCACACTCTTCACTCTGTCCGATCTGGCAGTCAACTTCCGTTTGATGTCTAACCTTAATGGCTGAGGAAGAGATTTCAGATTATAATACTGTGCAAATATAATACCTCAGAAGAATATAGAATATTATATAATATTGAGAATTTCACATTACTTTTCTAACCGATTATATCGTACATTCATTAATCTAGTCATTATTCTCTGATACTATTATTCTATGTATTCTCTGTGCTATTTTATACTGTAAGAAATAAACAATATAAAAGTACATTTGCAAAATTTGTTTTGGCTGGGAAGGATCTGTTATACTTAACATGTCAAACATAAAATGTAAAAACGAGTGGAAATGAATTGATTGTGAAATAATTCGTGTGCGTTTACGTAGAATTTATAAGGAAAGAGTGACACTTTACGGTCGGGAAAATCCACTGTACACGCGAACGGCCGATCCTTCGTCATTTCGGAGAAGGGTGCATATTTTGATGGGACACGGCAGGACGAAAATGTGTACATACGACAGGTAATGACAATTGAACGGAAAAGAACGGAATCTCTTTTCCTACGTACCATTTTGTTTACTATCTTGTGGTTATCCTGTGGTATTCAATATCGGAGCGAAATTATTCCGACGACTGCATCAACAATCTAAACAAGACACTCTCCCATTAATTAAGGACGTGGCCGATGCCAGTACCAGTGAAGATGGCGTCTGCTTACAGCCGCCACATATGCGGTCACCGAGACACCATTCTGAAAGATTACCCGAGTTATTAATCGTATGACTAGCTGATGTTCGATTCACTCGCAAGTTACTCGGTATTTAATTAGCGTTTAAATCACGCGTGTATGTGCTATACGCGTCGAAAGGGATTTAAAAGACCGATGATATTATTAGCTACGCTGCGTTGCTCCTTCTATACTTAACATGAGATAGATACATGTTTGAGATGTGATAATAGAGAAGTAGGAAAGAGAAAGAATGCAGAGGAGTGCAGGAAGTGCAGCTAAAAAGAACAGATCTCAAATTTGGTTAAGCTCCTTCGGTAAGTAACTTCGCGATCTCAATCACGTTAAAAACTAGAGACTTCAAGCTTTAAAGTGCTTCTTGAACGATCTTGATAGCACCATTATTGCGAAAGTTACAGCCTCTTGAATTTCGTCTATGTTTTATTAAAATGAAAAGTATGACTGACCAGCCCTTGAGTCATACTACTTGAAAAAAATAGAAGTACGTCTGACTCCATCGTTTAGTCGTATCACGACCTCGATTCCTCGTTAAGTATAGTGGCGGCTCGTAGCGGAGGCCCTGGAACTAAATTTCAGAAATAACGAGTTTACGGAATTATTAGACCCGTTATTGAAATAACAGGTTTGCGGAATTATTAGACCCGTTATTTCTGAAATTTAGTTCCAGGGCCTCCGCTACGAGCCGCCACTATACTTAACGAGGAATCGAGGTCGTGATACGACTAAACGATGGAGTCAGACGTACTTCTATTTTTTTCAAGTAGTATGACTCAAGGGCTGGTCAGTCATACTTTTCATTTTAATAAAACATAGACGAAATTCAAGAGGCTGTAACTTTCGCAATAATGGTGCTATCAAGATCGTTCAAGAAGCACTTTAAAGCTTGAAGTCTCTAGTTTTTAACGTGATTGAGATCGCGAAGTTACTTACCGAAGGAGCTTAACCAAATTTGAGATCTGTTCTTTTTAGCTGCACTTCCTGCACTCCTCTGCATTCTTTCTCTTTCCTACTTCTCTATTNTTTTTAATTTTAATAAAACATAGACGAAATTCAAAAGGCTGTAACTTTCGCAATAATGATGCTATCAAGATCGTTCAAGAAGCACTTTAAAGCTTGAAGTCTCTAGTTTTTAACCATATTAGCTATATTAATGTTGTTAATTTTCGTTAAGATATTTTGAGTTAAACGAAAAATAGCGACCGCTTAATTTCAAACATCGTCTTTCAGTTGAGTTTTCAGAGAGAAAAATTATTTGATTCGAAAATGTGATACAGGCGTTTTAAAGAGAAAACTTTAAACTTCTTACGTATTTGTTAACGAATGTCGTACGTATATAGTAAGAAACATTTTGTATTTGTTGTATTTCGTGTTAAAGTCGGTCCTTGTTAAAATTTCTGTGTTAAATTTTTAACATACCTGTGTGTTAATTTAACATATTGCGTTTATTAACAAGATACTTTCAGTTTGTAATGTTTAAAGCATATATACACGACATTTAATTCATACAACAACACTAGAAAAATAATTGATTACAAAATACGATAATTATTAAGCGCAGTGTAAATTATTCTTGAATGTCAATATTGTTGAATTAGCGGCGCAGATATTAATAATAGCACACCTCAATACGACGATATTATAGAACCTTGCAGCGTCAATTTGAATAACGGGTTGATTTGCAAAGGTTAAAAAATGTTTCGATATGTAATCGCTTCTACGCGCTTGTCGCGAGCAGCCGAGAGGTGAACGCTCGACGATGTTTACCCAACTCGCTTTTCCCAACTCGTGTATATTTACCGGCTGGTTAATGCGAATTAAAGTTGGCAAAAGTTCGGCACCGCAACGTACGCAACCGAGCATGCACTTCGGTCGCGACGGCTCATCTCGCTCGAAGGGATGAAACTGCAACACGAGGAAAACTACCACGTACACGCTAGTCTCAATCCGCGTGTCGGTTTCCATTTGTTGCTATTTCTTCTTACTTTTTCATTCGTTATTTTATTTGAACATCACAAATATTCAGTAGACACTTGCCCGCAGTGAAAACAAAACAGCGCTACCGTTCAAGTAATATTTACTTGACCCACGTAAAATGGTAAATGCTTTTCGGCAAATATTTGCTTTGGAAATAGAAATATAATTAATGATATACAATATGTCATTTCCTTTGTATAAGTAGACATCTATTTTTGCACGTGTGAATGGCGACCCGTCGACATAGGACGACCGCTGCTATCGAGATGGCAGCGAACATTACGAATTCGGTCTGTGCTAATAACGGCGTCAGTTATCGGGGAGCGCGGAAGTGGCAGGAACGTTATAACCCCGGCAAGGATTACGACGGAAGTTACGCAAAAGCGTTTAGTTATGATTCGCTTAATTACCGGTAAGTAGTCGGAAATATCGTTCAAACTCCACCGGCACTTCCGCGCTCTTAACTTTGCGACGCGCCGCTACCGAATTAATTCGGAAAGTCCCCGCTCTAAACGAAATGTTTCGCCGGGATAACACGGTTATCCCTTTGACGTGTTTATCCCGGTGTTATACACGGGACGATGCGTCACAATTTACATCCGAATCGAGACAGTTATCGCGATAGCGGTATCTTATATAAAGTCGATATTTTCTTTCTCTTTCCCTCGTTTATATATTTAATGAATAGAATAAGCGAAGGTTTAAATATCGTGTTTTAAAATTTAAAAACAAGTGGTAGATATTTATACATTTAATAAATATTAGGGAAAATCCAAAGGAGCAACGACTGTCAATTATATTCGTCGGAAAATATTGGTATGTCGCGTTTACTCGATATTCGATTGAACCCTGCTCAGCCTGAGGGCTTTTCTCTGTTATTCCGGAATTGCAGATTATTTACGACGGTGGTTGTCGCGCGAAATTCGTGCACTAGCTTCACGGATTGGCAATTTGCGGCATAGCGAAAGTGAAGTATGAACGGAATCCGTTCAGCGCATCGAACCCAATCATCTGTGCGAGTTCTTTTCTGTTTCTCTTTGTTTTCAGCCATCTTCTCGTCTTCCCGTCCTTCGTAATAAATAAATTTCTTTAAATAAACCTCTAATAAGTTATTTTTATCAATTCTCATCCGCGGATGCTTCCACCGGATCGGTCGATTTCATCAAACGCTGGAAATGCCGAAATAACGCGACATGTTTTCCGCATTTCGCGCCAATTGACTCGCGGTGTCTCCGATTCGTCGATAATTTGCCGAAATTACAGCGATTTCGATACTCGGCGAGAGCACTGTTTAAATCTTTCTCGCGAATAGCAACGCGATTCTCTCTTCTCTTCTCTCTTTCACTCTCGAAAACGCATGAATATGCAAATTGCAAGCAAGTGCGGCGGCAACATTCCAGATGCGGTATCGAGAAACGTATTAGTTAAGCGATACCTCTTACCGTCGGCGAAGAGGCGGTAAAAATATAGACAGGGTAGTGCGAATCTCGTAGAATCCTGCGCGTATTTTCCAATGACAAACGAGAAAAGCGCAATCGGATATGCGCGATAACGCTAATCGCTGGTGCGCTACCGCGTCAACGATGCTAATCGCCCCGGTAACATATCGGATATCGTATCAATTCGATTATTAATGCGCGCTGCCATGAATATTCCGCACGAGTCCTCGTCCGTAAAAGCTATAAGCGTGATTTGCGCCGAGAGAAAATTCTTCCTTCACGCAGTAATAATAAATAGTACATTTCCACGTGGAATCACACACATTCACATATAGCCGGTCACGTCATTTACGCAGCCTACGACGACATCCTGTCGAGAAAAACTCGACGCTCTTCCTCATTGACGTATGAATATCTGAACGGAGCATGTATGTATAATGAATTAAAGCAAGGAAGCGTGTCAATTTTTCTCGAAAAGAAAGTTACGACGCTTCGGGTCACTCGGCTCGACTCACCTTTATTTGGCTCACACGTGCTTGCTCGTCAGTATAAATCTTACAGTACATTGACACCTCACAATAATATTGACCGTGTATTGATATCGTATAGTATATCGACAATTTCTCAGAAATTCTCCCAGAAGTATGAATTCGGTTTATTGCAAATGTCAACGAGCGGGGAAAAATTGCAAAAAATCGCGAACCTCACAAAACTGTAACCTTTCCAAAAACTTACTTCAGTCTGCTGCAAATGTCAACGAACTGAAACAATTATTCCCTCACCGCTAATTAGATCTTACCCTCGTAGAATAGGGAAAACATTCATCGACGTCGACTTTCCTCGACTCTGCTCGCCGATCGGTATTCGCGCGAAAAACCAAAAGAATCGATTAGCATGTCGCTCGTTTGTCCGGTCCGGATGCCGCGATACAAGGTAATCTCGTAGACGTCATCTATAATTCATCCGGTCGGCAGCGACGGTGAGGCCGAAGGGGCGCGTGGGTCATTTCGAATGGGTTAAGGTCATCCCCAGGGCTGCTCTTCGCCGAATGATACTGCCGCGGTTCCGTAAAAGGCGCGCGCGGATGGAAATGCGAGAGGAAAGGACGGAACTCGGCAATAGCGAGCGACGCACGCGCGAGATAAGGACTGTTGAATAATTTATGCCTCGCTTTTAAAGAGAGGTTTACACCGATTTATTCGGCGAAAATACATCAGCCTGGCGCGAGCGGCATCTCGTCTCTATAACGTGCAATAATATCGCGCGAAGAGCCTCTCCTACGAGCAGAACGGCGAACAGTCTGCGGAACGTCGGTGGTGGACGGCGTTTTCGCAAAAGATGCACCACGAGTCAAAGGCGAGAGTCGAGAAAAAGATCGTATCTTCTCGAGTATCTTCTCCGATCGAGCGGCGAAGTCTTTTCAAAGGTTTCGAAAGATCTTCCTCCAAGGCCTCGATGATCGGGGTGATAACAGTTCCCTGTTTGAATAACAGATCTCTCTCGTTCTTCTCTCACGAAGGTGCTTCCTGCCTCGTGTCGTGTGAGGCACATCCGTTGGTATAATCTTTGACAGCTCGCGCGCGAATGACGCTGCACGAAATATAACAAAGCGAAAGGGTAGGGCTTGGACGGTCTTGGACCTAATGGAATTCAATTTTTCCTTAAAACCGAAACTCTTACTTTCGCCGCTTGAGATTCTGCGTCGGAGATTTATCATCGTGGTGAGAAGAAAAGCGCAAAAAAGATAACGATAAAT